AAATCTTCAATAAGGTGCCTTACTCAATATATACCAAAAGATCTTGAACGATAGCATTAAATTCAAGGCCTATAACTATCGTTCTTACCCTCGTACGCCTTATACATGGGTGTCGAAATTATGGTTGATTTACGGCAGACGGTATGGCGAAGTGTTTTAATATTTTCGCCATTGCACTCCAAAATGGCGTATTGCAAAATTATTTTCGTCTGTCGTGATTAAACTGTCAAAAATATTAGAGACTGTCGAAATGATTTATGGCAGTCGTTATTAGGATCGTGAAATGTAAAATTCAGAAATAATCCGAAAGAAAATGAACGAACACAAAAGACGCCATAGAAGGCCATTTGATGGTTGGCTGATGTAAATCCATTGCCCAGATAACTTTTTGATAACACAACGTTTCACTAATAAAAATAGAATCTTTATCTTCGCAAGAGCGTGAATATTCACGGTACAAATAATAGAGAAAGATCGGGAACCTGAATAACTTGGAAAACAAAATGTACCTACCGTTGATTGGATCGTATCAAATTATACTCTTTAGTAGTAGAAGATCTGGGTAAACGTTTAAATTTGGCAGGTTCTTACGATGTGTTTGGGTTTGTCAATTGTAAAAGTTCTTTAATGAGTTTGGGTTTATTAGTAATAAATATAACATTTGCCCACTTTACGCGTGTCTATCGATTCTCTAGTTTTTAGTAGTATGTGATAAAATTTAAAAATTATGTATTTTGATTGGTTAATTATCACGGGAAATCAACGGTATTTTCATATCTTCGGCATACTAAAGTATTCTCGACATATCGATACTAAATTATTTGCGATTTTGAGTGTCAAAAATTATTTTCGCCATTTAAATTTACGCCAAGAGCAAAATATTTTCAACACCCATGTATAGTGCGCCTGATATTCCGGAACTACTAAGATATTTACAGAAGCCTGGTAAGTTCTTTCCGATCTGTTGTAATAAAGCAACTTCAAATTTATTTACATAATACAGAGAGACCTCTCTAAATGCACCCCCTCGGGGGTATAGTGAAAAATTCTAAAAATGTGCACTTAGAAAGGATGTGCATTTATAGAGAGAAAAATATATAGTGCAATTATAAGCTGGGACAAGATTATACCGTGCATTTAAAGAGATTTTACATAAAGGGTGCATTTATAGAGGGTGCACTTAGAGAGGTCTCTCTGTAGTGTAATAAGGATAGAAATTCCGAAACTATATTAAAGCTTTCTGGTTTAACTTATATTTTTAGATGCTATTTTCGAACCAAACATTGTAGAGATAGTGTCAACTCTAGTTAGCGAGTCTGTAGAAAATATTGGACAAATCTTTGGTTCCCTCTGCCATAGTTATACGGGAGAGCCTTCAAAAATTCAACTATTAAGTGACCTTTATGATGAATTTGTGAGCTCAGATACTCAGCCTAAAGCCGACTTAGTAAACCAAGATGCGTTGATGAATATACTTCTTGACAAATATGAAATTGTAAAAATCGATGAAGTAGCAAAATGCAATGTAAGTTATCATGACTTATCGACAATAACTTTTTGTAAGGGCAATAATAAATAAAATTGTGGGCCTTTATTGCAATTATTAGCTTCAGGCTTTAAACCCTACATTGCGACTAATTCAAATCCCGTATTGGCGAAAAGCCTTATACGCTTTGTCAGAAAAATATCCAGAAAGCCAGTTTTTAAATTTTTTAATTCAGGTAATACTTTTTCTCTGTTTAATTGTTACATTTGATTTATCAGATATTTATTAGAATTATCATAATTCTGCAGAAAATTGCAGATGCAAACCATATCGACGAAATAAAACATCTT